CTGAAGTGATATGTGCCCAGTCAATAAGGAGATAGTTGAAATCCCTCATTATTATTGAGCTTTTTTATTTTTATAACCTGTCTAATCTCCCTTAGCATTTCACAGTCACTGTCACCATCCCTCCTAGGTGGTAGGTAATATACTCCTGCTGCTATATTCTTATTATTAGAGCAGAGGTCAGCAAACTATGGCTTGTGAGCCATATACGACTCACTTAGGAGCTAAATATGGCTCACAGCTCAAGCTCAGCCCCCATGGGTAGCCTGTGCTGGTGACCCCGAGCCCATCATACACCTGAACCCCCTGCCCTGATCCCCTCACTCCCCCACATCTCCAAACTCCTGAACCCCCACATTCCCAGCCTCCCACCATAAGACTGACAGAAGACAGCCTGAATGTGCACATGAAGCTGGATTTGACCAGTTATGATGTAAACTTGAAAGAAATGTGCGAAAAGATGCAACAGCAGAAGTCTCTTTAAATAGTCTATGTGTACAAAGTTTCATTTTTGCTATTATTAATCATTGTCAATTATCAATAATATTAAGTTGTATATTTTCAGTCATGCAAATGGGCATTCCTATACAGTTCTTTGTTGACCACTTGTTCTGAATTTTGATGTAGTTTGGCTCTTTGGTTTGAAAAGATTGCTGAGCCCTGTGTTAGAGCATGGAATTACTATCCATAGAAATTTTATGGTGCAGTTTGGTTCATTTAATATTTTTACTTCATTTGATTCTACACTTTCTTTCACATATGTGCCATTCTCCCACCGGCATGATCTGTTCTGTCCCTCTGATATATTTGATACCAGGTATGACTGTTTCTCATTAATTACCCTCATTCCACCAAGTTTCTGTGATGCCTATTATATCAATATCCTCCATTAATACAAGGCAATCTAGTTCATCCATCTTATTATTTAGACTTCCAGTGTTTGTTAATCACTTTAAATGCTTGTCACTCTTTAGCCATCTGCAATTACAAGACATGATTGAAAGGTGCCCTTTTGCATTTGACTGTTTCTCTTCAGATCTTACTCATATTTTATCATCTTCCACCGTCTTCTCCTTATTAGGACATAGAGAATTTCCATGAATTTCCTAAGAGATGTCTCTGTCCAATCCAGGTGGTCTTTTGCACCAGGCGGCTTTGTTTAAAAACTTCTCTATGACCTTTTTTAATTTTAAGTTCCAGCAAATTGGTTCCATTTTGTTTTAGGTGGGGCCTATGGTTCCCCAAAAGGTTCCCTGGTTCCTAGTAAAATGAAATCCCTCCTCACTGTACCTTTGTCTCTTCCACACATTGAGACCCTGCAGTTCTTCCTGTCTACTGTGGAGATCCTGGACTTTACCTAATCTCTCTCCTACCCTTTCCTGTTATTGGTACCTACATGTATCATGACCACCAGCTCCTCCCCAGCATTGCACATAAGTCTATCTAGATCCCTTGCACCAGGCACATAAGTCACCATGAGATACTCCTGGTTATCACAAACCCAGCTGTATATGTTCCTAATGATCAAATCCCCCGTTACTAACACGTGTCTCTCTTTTAATAACTTTAGTTCCGTCTTCCGGACAGGTGCAAGAGAATGCCAGAACATCATCTTGAAAGAAGGTCCCAACTAGAGGATTGTTTCCCTCTGCTCCAGTTGGATGTTCTCCTTCTCTGAGATTTTCACTCTCCTCAACAACACAGAGGCTTTCTGACTGGAGTTGGGACCATTCTATTGTGTCCCAGAAAGTCTCATCTGTGTACCTTTCTGCCTCCCTTAGCTCCTTCAGTTCAGCCACACTGGACTCCAAAGCCTGTACATGGTCTCTGGGGTCCAGGAGCTCCTTGCACCATATCCACATATACACCACCTGTCAATAGGGCAAGGTAATCATACATGCTACATTGGGTGCAATAAACTAAATAGCCCCCACTCTGCTGCTTGGCTTCTGCCTGTATTCTCTTTTTACTCCTCGATTTTGTTACTCTCTTGGTGGGACGGTTTTTTAAACTTTTATGTTTAAAGAATATTAAGTGTATTTTTGCCCTCCCCTCCCCACAATTTCCCTCTAAGCTCCTCTGTTCACTAGTTCCTCTGATTGCTTAGAAATAGGCTTTTAAAAACCCTGCCCTTCCTGATAAGCCCTGCCCTGTGGATTAGGGATCAAAGCCTCTTTAACAACTCTCAGCCTTGCCTAGCAGGCTGCTGGTCTCCGCACACCATGGAGAATCTGCCGCACGGTATCTTTCCATCAAGCAGCAAGCACACCACAAACACACACACACACATTGTCTCACACACACACTATGGACAACCTACTTCAAGGGTCACATAGTAGGGAAGATATGATTGTTCTCTATAAAAACATCAGAGGGATAAATACCAGGTGGGAGGGGGAGGAGTTATTTAAGTTAAGCACCAGTATTGACACACGAACACATATCTATAAACTGGCCATCCATAAGTTTAGGCTTGAAACTAGATAAAGGTTTCTAACCATTAGAGGAGTAAAATTCTGGAACAGCCTTCCAGGAAAATAAAGGGGACCAAAAAACCTAGCTAGCTTCAAGACCGAGCTTGATAAGTTTATGGAAGGTATAGTCTGATGAGCATGTAGCCCATTTGTGATGGCTGGTAGCAAATATCTGAAATGGCTGATGATGGGATACTAGATGGGGAGGACTAAAGATAATTTTTTCCCAGGTGTCTGGGTGGTGTGCGATGTTCCCTCTAATCTTTTCCATCCATATACAGAATACATTTTTATGTGCATCAAGGCATGTGTGAATGCATCACCAGTAGAAATAAAACCTGGCCATGGGTGCTCTGCTAATCCACTTGGTAGCATCTGAAGCTCTTCTTAGTGGCAGCACAAACACACAGAGTATCAGGAACACTGGTAGTGGGTGTTGCCCACATGATCAGGGTCTAACTGACTGCTGTGTTTGGGGCAACAAAAGAATTTCCCCCTTGAGTCAGATTGGTAGAGAGAGTGGGGTAAGAACTGCACACTCTTGAGTTTCCAAACAAGGGACTCAGTGATACAAGAATACATCCCTAGTAATTGTGAATTTCTATTAGCAAAAATTAAACTAAACACACTACTGTAAATCAGTGTCTGCAAATGCTTTTTCGTGATAAACTACGTGAGAAACAAAAAAATCACATTCCTAAGTTTTATCTATAAAAATCACACAATGTTTTGGATTGGTTCAACATTTTTATATAAGGCCATATGGATTCTAAGTTGACAGACAATCCCAAATTGCAGTTTATCTTAAAACTTTATTTTCAAAAGAATCTTTTTTACTGGATTATTAAATATAGCAATTGAACATACAGTAATTATTATAACGGGTGATATTTCATTTTCTACACAATTCAATTAGTATTCATTTCTGTATGGAAAACCTTCCACTTGTTGAAATTAGTGGAAGATTACCTGCTATTTTGGTGCATTCATTTTAGGACAATTATCAGAACACTGTAAATATACTACTACTACGAAGAAATAGATTGTATTTATATAGCTTACACTGCATCTTTTTTAAACTTTTGAAGCATTCTATTTATAATCTATATACTATATACTAATATACTATAGAACACAGGAAAATGTTGACACATTGAAAGTAATAACAAACCAAAATGATAAAAAATGTATTTTAAATTATTTTATTATTTTAAGAAATACAATATGCAGTGTCATTTTGACTGTACTGATAATCAGAATTTGTACTTCACACAATGATCATCTAGTCATGCAATAAACTAATAATCATTTTCTCTTAGTTAAGGCATGGTACAGATTCTTTAGCAACAATACACTCATCTCATTCTCATCTCCTTCTACACTTGACAGCACAGTGCAATTACACATTCTAAGAACACTGGGCTTGAAAGGTCAGCCCTATTGAAGTCAAATGGAGTCTTGCCATTTACTTCAGTGGGTCAAAAATTTCACCTTTAATCTCTACCTACGAAGTTAAATCACATGGCCTTTGTAATCCTTCAAACATATCACTCTCTTACAGACTACATCATGTTAGTATATTTAAAAATTCAGTGAAGAAAATAAAATGTCAAAAAAAGCCAACACATTTCATATGTCAAGCCTTGCACTGATCTTGGTTAACTATATCACTCCTTAATAATCAACAATCCATCTAGAGATTCTGAAATCATCTGTTGCCCTCCTCCCCATCCACTTTGAGATTTAGACAGTCCGGAGGGGAAAAAGTTGATGTGATGTGAATGGTACTGAGAAACACAGATGAGCGAGTAAAGTCTTCATATGGTTGACTAAAACTAGTACACATTGCATGTTTCAAAAAATAAGTATTGCAAGCACAGCTCTGCTTTCCTCCTTGTTTTAAACTTTAAATATCTTTCCCACACTCAGGGCAAAGGATGTCATCCCTTTCTGTGAGGAAGCCGCGGCCCACTAATGAAAGAGAACACTTCTTACAGTTAAAGCAGTCATTATGCCACTGCCGTTCTTCAAAGGAGATATACTTGGTTCCTCCGAGTCCTATTTAAAAACCAAAAGCAATAAGGAAAAACAATGGAGTACCAGTCATCAGGTGACTTAGTGCAAGAATTCTATTTGAGGACTGCCAATGATATCCGCTGTAAAGCAGTGAAAGAAATTTTTTGTGAAAGAGAATTCCAATCCTGCTGTGCTTTAGCTTAATTTTGCCATCCTTACAGATGGGCTGTGTCTACACTGGCCGTGAGTATTTGCGCAAGAACACTGATGTTGTAATGTATAAAATCAGTGCTTCTTGCGCCAATACTCTGACGCTCCTGCTCAGGGATAAGCCCTCTTGCACAAGTATTCTTGTGCAAGAAGCTAGTGTAGACAGCAATGTTAATTTCTTGTGCAAGAAAGCCCGATGGCTAAAATGGCCATCGGAGCTTTCTTGCACAAGAGAAAGCACGGCACGGATGCTTTTGCACAAAGCATGCCAGTATAGACACTCTCTTGTGCAAATACTTTTAATGGAAAAACTCTTCCGTTAAAAGTATTTGTGTTAAATCATGCCAGTGTAGACGCAGCCATGGTGAGTAGGGCTCTCACTTTATCTTCACTTTAAATGCTACAGCTGCACTGCTGTGGAGCTTCCATGTAGATATTTCCTTTGCCATTGGGAGAGGTTCTCCCTTCGGCATAGGTAATTCAGCTCTCAAAGAGGCCAGAGCCTTCCATCAACCTAGTGTGTTCTACAGGGGGATTTAGGCTACCTTAACTGTGTCACTCAGAGGTGTGGATTTTTCACACCCCTGAGTGATATACCAGATTTGATGTACATTTTCTAGCATAAACCAGCCCTTAATCTTCATGATACTCAATGGACATAGGAACTGGATTTTAACTGATGGATTTGACAGAGAAATGAGATATAACATATACCAGGGAATCAGAACAGACAGGAAGGTTATGAGCTACATAAAGATAACATTATTATTCAGTATAGGCATACTTGTCTTGAAAAGTTAGGGGTTTACATTTTGTTATGTAAACTTGTTAACTTGTATTGCTGAAGGTGCCGAACTAAAATTGAGTGAACTCAATAGAATGAAGATAATGGTTTGACAGTTTTGAGGAGCATGTGCCAAGAAAGAGGGGAAGAAAATGCAAAAATATTTGAGAGAAAGAGGTGAGGGAGCCCATTGAGGATGACCTCACTGGGGAAGTAGTAGTTGGGGGACTGTGCAGGGGACAAGGGGCCAGGCTTTGATATGACCTATGCGTTTCATGACCTTGAAAGCAAGGAGAAGCTGTTTGAACTGATGCCGAGGGCACAGTGCAATCACAGTGACCGAGGAGACTGAAAGGATGTGTGGAACATTGTTGAAGTGACAGGTGAGAGATGATTCTTTCAGGAGTATTTTGCATAGTTGGGAGGGAAGGGCAGTTAGTATAAAAAAACTCAAAGGGGGAAATTCAGCATTTCCTGCCTATGTTTATGCTGCAGTTTCCATGATGGCAAAGAAGTGCTAAGTGTGCCATCTAAAACAGATGATTGGTAACGGCAAGAGAGGTGTGAGCAGACAGGCAAAGAGTGAAATAATGGCTGGGGGCAGAGCAATCCAAGTGTCACATGAGAGACTTGCTCCGTGCTGTAGTTTGGAACCTTAGTCTTGGACTGTGTATCTAGTATGTCTAAAGCATTGGCCACCCCCATAGGGTTATCTTTATGCTTAGCCAATGTTGATAAAACACTGTATAATTGTTCTCTCTAATATTTTCATACTGAAAGGCTGTGCATCAAAGCGGTGTGATTTCTAGGCACCTATCCTGAAAACCCAGGAAAACCTCCATGCAGTCAAAAATGAAACATAATTAAATGTAGTTTCTATTGGGAAGGAAGTTACTGTTGGTGGACACAGTAGTGTCTCAGAAATAAAAGCAGGCTGAATACCAAATGGTGTATGTATATCCTACTATATGCATAGTTGTCTTAGGATGTAGCTACATGTTCCCTGGAAATCAAATAAAAAGGAGAAAAATTCAAAGTTAGGATTAATTTCAGTTTTCAAAGATTATAAAAACTGCTCAAGTACAAGTGCTCAAATTCAGGATATATATATATATATATATATA